ATTTTCGTTAGGGAGCCTTTTCCTTGAAATTTCGACAGCTACAAACACAAAGCAGCATCCCTGACATCACGAGTGTCTGCCACTTTTGTTGACTAACCCTGTACATCCGTGGCACGTTAAAATGGCCCCCTCAGAACAGCAGCAGCAGCCGGGCTTCAGACCCACTGACGAGAAACAGGCTGGATTGCCTCATTCTGCCAGCGAAGGGCCTGACAATGAGATGAAGATAACAGATCCCACGTCAGTAAATGAAATTATTCCCTGTCAGAGAAGGGCACGCGGAGGTTGGGATATACAGCCTTCAAAAAGCCGCCTCACCTTCTTCCTTGCCTTGGGGACAGTCCTTGAGGCTGCAGCAGTGCCTCGCGCTCCCAGGAGAGCTTCTAGCCATGTCCGGACCCTTTGCGACAGGGCAGTGATGGGACCCCAGCGTCCCGGAAGGAAGGAACTGCTGGTGATTCACATGGAAGCGGCAGGATGGGGTAAGAGCTGCACTGGGCTCTCGGCCAGGCAGCGCTGGGGCAGAACGGCAAGCGGGCAAAGAAGGTAACATGAGGACTGAGAGAAACTTGGCGGCAGCCAGCTGGTTCCCACATGCACTGTTGTGCTCAGTACCCTGGAAATCGTTAGAAGAGGCTGAAAGGAATAAAAACCATGAGCAGAGCAGGGAGGTGAAGTGGGGTTTGATACGCACACAGGCTAGCCTGGAATAAGCCTGTAAGGGAAAAAGCCCACAGTGTTGTCGTGTGAGAAGCAACTGTCGCCGTCACCAACAGTGCAGGAAATTGCATGCTGGCAGCACGGCTGCTCCCCCATCCTCCCACCTCACGTTTCGGATCCCGGCGGCTTTCCCAGGGCTCCGGCAGCATAGGAGCCCCAGCAGCGGGGTGGCGAGAACGGATCCCCCCCCGAGCCAGGAAGCACGTGGGGATCCTGCTACAGAGCCGCGCCACAGGGAGCAGCAACCAGGCAGGACCAGCGGGCAGAGCTGCCGGGAGATAATGGAAAATAAAGCCAGCCAATTATGAAAAATAAATAATTTCACTCTTTTTTTTCACAACCAGTAAAACACATAAAAACCATAAGCTAAAAAAAAAGCAAAGCCACGAGGCTGCCACTTACCTCAGCGCCACGGTGACTCAGCTGTGCCCTAGCAGATACTCTGCATTACTGGGCGACAAAGCAAGAAGTTAGGATTGATTAATTGATTCACACATTAAACAGCTATTCCCGCTCAATTATTGACAAGTTTGTTAATGGATTACTGTTTAAACGGTTCTGATATTTTAAATTACCTGCTATTTTATAGCTGCATATTTACTAGGAAAAAAAAAAAGAGCGCCCCTTGCATCTATTAACATATTAAAGGAAAAATAAAACAGCCAGGCTGATATAATGTACAATGTGGCATTACTCTGGGTGCTTCCTAAGCTAGGAAAATCTTATTTGTTTAATAATAAGTTAGTCATGAATATGCAAATCTGCATCAGTGCAGTACTTCACTTCTGTCACTATTAATGAGTTGCAAATTAATGTGACAACAAAAGGAAAATCTATTTAGTGGCAGAATTGTGGTTCATACCTGGCTCAAGAGAGCAACCATTTACAGACATTCCAGTCTGCTGGAGCAAAATGTGCCCGTGGTGTGGAGCAGCTTTGCTTCTGGGCCAGCAAACCAGAAAAAGCTTCAGTCCCCAGCACTGCAGGGAGCATCGCCAGCCCTGTCTTAGCGGTGGAGGGAACAGAAGAGCAAACGTGAGTGTGAGAGGCTTATATTTAATTTGGAACCTGTAACTTTGGTTATATTAATGATCAGAAACAACAGGAGCATTCCTAAAATAGTCATTAGTTAAGAGTAAACAGGAGCATCACTGGATTCATCGTACACTTAACTTCCAAGGAGAGGCCATCTCTTGGCTCTGCAATCAAGGTGAGCCCCAGCTAAAGGCTGAAATGCAGAACTAGCAATACTGCTCTAGGAAAGAAGACCTGAGAACCTGGCTGTGCTGCCTGCAAAGACCTTCACCTACTTCAGGTCTGCTAAGAGGGTTTTTTTCACCTGACAATGCTAGAGGCTCACAGGGGGAAGCCTGCTGGATTCAAGCCACTTTATTCTCCTGCCGTCCTCCAAATGGATGCAACTGCAAATAAGCAAACTGAGAGAGAAAATAATAATAATAGTAGTTGCAGCATTCAACTCATACCTTGTGATCAACTCTTGTGTGATTCAACTCACACCTTGTGTTGGTGATACCAAGCCTTCTTCTGCCATTGCTGGACCCCTATGGGGTCCTGTTGACTGGAAGTGAAAATAAAATGCCCTGTAGACTGTCTGGGTACTATTTTTCAGCCAACATGCCCCTCTACCAGCCCGAAGCAGTGATGCTTGGGCTTTTTCCTGTACGTACGGCAGCAATGATGCCGGGTGTTTGACAGCAGTCTCACAGGGACCCGCAACGGCGGCTGCCGCATTTACCACCCCCTGACGACACCGTGTTTGTATGAGCGCGCGGGCCACGGGTCCCATCTGTAGTTACCATGTTTAGTGCAGAAAGGAAGGGAGGAGGTAGCTCCAAGGTCTTTGATTCCTGGGGCAAGCCTGGCTCCCGGGAGCAGTTTGAGGACAATTTCCTTGCTGCCTCTGTGATCTCTCAAGCTAGGAGCCGGTCCAGTTTCCAAAGGGCAGCTGGGCTCTCGCTTTAGCAGATTCACCTCCGGAGAGCCCAAACTGCAAGTACAAACAAGGACCAAGCGCCTCTGGCCCTTCCCTGCTGGGACAAGCTCCCAGCCCGGCTGCTGGAGCAAGCCGGGTAAGACACGGCAGAGCAGAACAAACACGAGCAGCGTGCAGAGGGAGACGTAACCCGCACGGGAAACCACCAGGGCTGCTCCCGCTCGGCAGAACCAAGCCCTGGAGGGCAAGGCAAAGGAGGCGTTCGGGATCTTGCTGTCCCCAGCAGTCCTGCTTATCTTAACCGAAAACTCCCAGCGCTGCCCTCGCAGTGACTTCGCCTGCCTGCCATCTAGGCAGCCTGGAGCGGGGTATTTCCTGGTATTTCCCAGCCGGTACCAAGCAAACATTTTAGCGATGGAAACTCCCGTGAGGGAGGCTCACCTGCCCGCTCCAGCCAGTGCTGGGCCTTCCCCCGTGGTGCCCGTGGTTCCCCTGCACCTCCATGAGGCTTCACAACCCCCGGTCAGCCACGTCTATGTAACGAGCGGCAGGAATCCAAGGAAGCCCCTTGGCAACAACACGACACTTCTACCCCACGGAAGGCAGTGCACGAGCACTGCAGCTTTACCACCTCCAGGGGCTGCATTTCTATTTCCTTATTGTTAATGAACCTGGAGCAACGCCAGCGGCAAAGCAAGCATCTTTGGCCTACAGAGGTTGCAAGCGGTTTCGAGGAGAGGAGCTTGAATCCAGAGGCTGAAAGATGAGGTGGCCAAGTCCCTGGCTCTATCAGAGTTGGATGCGGCCAGAGCTGCCCTAATGCTCAGCACTGCTGGCAATGTGGCCCGCACTTTGCCTCCTGCCAGCTGCCCTGCATGCACTTGCTGTTACCAAGATAGCTCCTCTCTCCTCTCCCTGTGAGAACTATATCCTGCGTCAGCCAACTGCACAACTACCTGGGCAGAAAGTTTCCTGTGTCACCTTCCCTCCAAAAACACCCAGAAGAGAGTCAGCCAAGCTACCCTCCAACAAGGAGCAGCATGGGGTGCCGCCCAGCTCTCTCTTCTAACCTTCCCCACTCCCTCAAGCACCCTCACGCAAGCTTAAGCACAAGGGAAAAGCAGCCTGTCCTCCAAAAGGATAAAATGGCCACGCTGCACCGGGTGTCCCCACCAAGGCCCTATTTACGGGGAGCCACCGGGCCCCGGGGCGGGCGCTCGCTTGCCTTGCGGCAGCATCAGCTCCCTGCCGCATTCGGGCATTGCTGCTGGCGCCAGCACGGGGAGGCCCGGCTGGACTTTGGGCGCCCGTGGCGATAGTGGAAGCTGACTAAGCGGAGCCTGCCGGGAGCGCGCGGCCGCCCGGGGAGGAGCTGCCCCACAGAGGAGGCTTCGTGGATCTTCGGCCTGCCGCAGGGCACGGGCAGAGGCGAGGTCTCTGGAGGCGCTCGTGAGGCAGCACCACCCGCCTCGTGCCAGCCGAGCAGCGCACAGTGAGCGATCACACACAGGAGTCCTCCAGGATCCTTCCTTACCTTGATTTCTGTGGTTCACCTCTCATTTCCAGGAAAGCCAGCACCCAATGCGGAAGAACATGGATGGCTGCAGGTCCCCAGTTATAGACCACTGGCTAAAGAGGAATTCCAGGAGGTGCTTGCAAGCTGGACCGGAGAGAGCATCACCTTCATCCGGACTCCGGAGAATAAAACGTTGGTGGTCAGGCATCAGCTTTACTTCTGGTTCTTTAAGACACCTTCAGGAACAAAGAGTCCTTCTCCCTTAGCTCCCATAATGAGCCCATCACATCCTTACGGAGGGGCCTGCCCAAGCCTGGCGAGTCCACGTTCCTAGGTTCAGAGTGATGGTCTCTTCCATGAGGGATTCTGCCTTTAGATATGCCCAAAATGTGCTTGTAGCCCTAAGGCTTTAGAGCAAAACTACAGCATTTACCCTCACACTATTTCCCCTCCTCTACAGGCACTGCGAAAAAAAAAAGTAAATTCAGCCAAATCCAGTCAAAAACATGACAAAAGAAGAAAAATAATTGAACCTATTCACAGTTTTTTAACTAAAACGTAATGCAAAAAAGTATTGTGATTACTGCTTTTAAACCTCTGTCCCATAAAAGGCTCCCAGTGTTTTCTTGTAACCTTGAATTTAGAAGGGCAATGTAGATTCTACATCAGATTTCATAAAATGCTCTCCAGCACCTGTGCCAGCTCTGCTCTGCTTCAGGAAATGCAAGCAGAGCCTCCTTTCATAAACATTAACAAGTCAGAGCTCCTTTCACAGTCATGCGCGGAATTAATGGAAGTCACTTGAGCATCTTCATTTCTCAACAGTTTTATTGCCTTTAAGAAAATTTTTGTAAAATATAAATACAAAGGCAGGAGATTTACTTACAAAGTTAAAACACAGATCTCAAACATAAACACACAATTCAGAAAATTTAGTTTATGTACAGTTTCAAGCAACTTCAACATATGTTAGTTTTTCAATATTTTACAAGGTACAGAAAAAATAGTTCAAAGTCTTCTTTAAATAAAGAGCATAAAATGTTTAAACATATATAAACAATCCGGTTTGATGTGTGAAAACTAAATTTCACAGCTTTTAAATTAGGATATAAAAGTTCTTACAATTAGTTGATGCGTATGGATATGGTTTAATTTATATTACAAACTATTGAATTATATTCAATAGTGCTTACCTGGCCAAAGCAGGTAATTCTGTAAACAAAAAAACAAAAATAATATCACGAAGTGCCTTACCAAATTCTATCTCCCAAACAAGCCACATGACTTTGATCACATCACCTATAAAAAGTATGTTCTGTGTAATCAGTGCTTTGTATGAAACAAAGTCAATGTGTGGGTGTGTTCCTTTAAAAAAAAAAAAAAGAAAAAAAATGTGTTCCAAGTAATAACAAACTTATCCCAAAGCCTGTGTGCATTTAAAGAAACATTATATAACAATTTTGTAAAAACTGATTGAAGTTAAAAAAAAATTCTTCCAAAATCCATCCAACTGGAATTCAGATCTCTTATATAAAGGAAAGATATTTTCATATTTAATAGTGTCCTTTCTTTACAGAAACAATTGCATTTGAACACATATACATAAAGAAGTAGCTGTATATAGTACTGTACATTTAACGGCCTGATGGTTCACCAAAGGATGTCGAAGGGAGGCTCCTCATGCGGATGCAACCAGAGAAGCGTGGAGCCGAGCAAGCTCTTGAGTTCACTTGTAAACTCTACCAAGTCCAAGAGTTCTTTGCTTTCGGGGTTGAAAGCTTCGAGGTCCTCAGCGCAAGAGAAGAGCTGACTTAGAGAAGTCTGTTTGTAAAACTCGGCCTCTGTGATCGTGACGACTTCCAGATTCGGGAAGTTGCAGCGGAAGATGCGAGATGACATTTTTAGCCTCTTCGCCACGTCCGAGAGCAAAAGCCAGTTTCGTGGCCTGCGAAAGCAAAGGAGAACAGGGCTCAAATAGCGGACGCTGCGCGTCGGGCTCCTCACCTCCCTCCCACCTCTGGGAGCTCCCACAGCGCATTCCGGTGCAGACCATTTAACCCATGCAACAGCTTCATGGGAAGAGGAGAGCGGGAGCCGCGCCGACAGCCAGACACACCGGAGCTAAGGGACCCCCGCCTGAACCAGACCTGGCATTGAGCAGGCTGGGAGATGCACGGCTGCTACAGCTGGAGATTTCAGCACCTCTGCTTTCAGCGGTGCCCGCATGAAAGTAAGTTTGACCGGAGATTTTAGCAGTAGAGCCATTTTGTCATCCGTAAAAAAAACCATGTCCGGTGATCAAAACAGAAAAGGGTATTCCATAAAATTAAGAACACCTTAGGAACATTAGATCCAAATTAACGTATTAGAAGCTCCTGTTTTCTCTCATTATCAAGGTGTCTGTCTGGCTAAGAGAAGGAATTCTGATGTTCTGTATTCAAACACCATTCAAACATCAAACACCAAGCTCTGTGAGCACGAACAAGTCAGCTGCCTCCCTTTTCCCCTCCAACTAGGTTATTTCCAAAATGCCCAGCAGCAAGGTATTGACATCTGATTTACATTAGGCAACTGTAAATGCATTTCCCACAGATGCAACCAGCTGCCATTGCAAACGGACCATTTTGTCCATTTTTACCCGCTAATTTTTATCTCTTCTTACCCCTGAGAGAGACACACTTGAATGTTGTAACACGGCAGGGGAGGCTCCTCTGAAAATTCAAATTCAAACACATCGCTAAAGCCGTCATCTTCTTCATCACTTGGGCCAGGAGGATTTGCCAAGATGTCAAATCCAGACTCATCTTTTGGATCTAAATAATAAAAAAAGAAGAAAGATACCGAGTCAGCGTTGAAGAGATTGTTGCAAGTCTTGCTTTTTCTTCCAATAATATGATCTGCAAATAAAATCAGTTTACTTCCTTTCTAACTTCCTCTACCATAAAAACAAAGCAGCTCCCACCCCCACGCGCCGCATGTTTGGAAACTCCTCCGCGTACACAGAAATAAAGGGTAACATTTGCTCACCGCACACGGAGCTGCCATAGAAATCCCAGTACAAACCAGGGTCATCACCGCTTCGACCCTGCAGGTCAGTTAAGTACTCTGGAGAGGAAAAAACAACAACAAAAACGCAGCGATGAGAACAAAAATCCGGTGAGTTTCGCAGGCTGCGTGGTACAGGGAGGCTCACTATGCACGCCTCATGCCTCCCATCACAGCCAATCCACACCGTATTCCTGTTGTGGTGCAAAGAACCACACGCGCATACTTGCCTGGCAAGTATTCCTGGAATTCACTGCTCCCCTGCATCCCTTCGCCCATCACATCAAATAATCACCCATCACAAAAGAATAATCACCCATGGCCAAACACCCAACCCAAAGCTTCATGGAGAGCAGTGCATGATTTTCTCACAGTACCAGGCAGGCCACACATCCTAACCCTGCATGGTTGCTCTGCACACCAAACTTGGGGGAGAAGCAGGGGCCACAAAGCAAATGGTAGGGAAGGTTTTTCCACACAGATACATTCAGAAGCTGTAAGCATTCTCAGGAGACTTAATAGGAGAAATTTGCTAGTGGAGTTGATGAAAAGATGCGAGGATTCAAGACACTGAGAAGTCCAAGACACCTTTACTGGGGTCCTGATGTATGTATGCGTTTGACTACCACAAACATTTTTTGGAGGCAAAAGTATTAGGGAGTTCTGTTTTTCTTTTCTTTTTTTTTTAACCAAAATGAACAGGAAAAAAAAAGCCATGAACGTATTAGGATATGGACACGGGTAAAGACAAGAACATCTAATATCGTTCACAGCACCCCAGGTATGAAATGAATCTGAACTTGTTTCTGTTTGCTCCACACAGCACTCGTCTTTGTGCAAGGCCACGGCAGAACAGGGCTCCGCAGGGACCCGGAGAGGCTGGCAGCGGCGCCGTGCCGCAAGCGCACCTGTGAGGAAGGTCTCCATGAGCTCGCTGTGCGTCATCTTCACGATGCTCCTCCCCGAGTAGGTGGCGAGCGTCGGGTCGGCGCCGTAGGACAGCAGCAAGCGGACGATTTCCAAATGATCGTTTTCTACCGCGTCGTGGATCGGCCTGGGGAAAAACAGCAACGACGAAAAAAAAAGATCGCGGTGTAAACGTTTTGGCACAACAATATTATGCAGATGTGTATGAGAAGTAATTTCTGACTCAGGATCGGGGTTATTTATAGCAGGTAGCGCTATTAATACAGCTGTCAAACCTCCCGTTGTCATTTTGACTCGCGCATCATTCCCTCCCCTTGTGTCTCTGCCGAGACAGAGCTGCTTGGGGCAGATGCCTGCGCTGCATCAATCCGCCGCTTTACATGTTTCCAGGGCCGGCACGACAGTCACACCGCGGCAGAACAGAGGGCAGGAGCTCGTGTTAAGCCTCCAAAATAAATTTTTGCTTCAGGTCACTGTTCCAAATCTCTGCCAATTTAACCTGCCGAGGAGTGAAGGCTCATTCAGCCGGCCTCTGGGCAGACACGTAAACCAGTTACCCAAAGCTTCTAAATTATGTACGCAGAAGTAAGTTATGAAAATTTGATAGGAATTTCACTACCACACTATATCCCCTTAAATAGTACTGGCAAAGTTACTTGCAGCACAATCCAACCTTTCCGCTCGGAGAATATCAGAGCACGTTGTTTTAAGCTTAATCCATACAGAAGTCCATAAGGATTTTGCTCTAGCAAACCTCAGCAATACATAGATTATTCATTAGTACTCCTGCCTGCGATTCCGGGGTTAGAATTCCTTATAACTAATTATAAATTTCATTAACTTTTGCCTTAAAATTGATTATATATAACTGGAATTTGTCTGGAAGTAGAGCACATTGTGCTTCAGACTAATGAAGACGTGTCTAAATCCCATCTTTTCCGTAGAAGGCAGTGAGATGGGCACTGAAATCTCAAAGCGGGGTCAAATTCAACAGTCGGAGTGGGGGGGTCATGGCAATTCAACTCGCTCCTACCACTCCTATTCCTCTAATCCGTTGTGCACAAACACTGCTGCTCCCCAATAAGACTGTCTAGCTCTTGGAAAACCTTGGGGAACATGAGGGCGCTTGTCGCAAGCTCCGTCAGAGCCATAGAGATGGGGAACAGGCCGCCCGCTCCCCATCCCTGCGGCTCCGATGGAGCTCGCGACAAGCCATGGTGCCAACACAGGGGGCAAATAAAGAGGCAGGTCCCCACCCCTGGAGATAAGACAAGGTGGGAAGAAAAAGGGAATAAGGGAACACCGAGAGGCTCCTTTGCTGCGTCTCAGGGGCCAGCACGGCTCTCCAGCAAGCCCGTGAGCAGGACACTGCGGAACGCAGCCAGGCGCCAGCTTATGCCTGCTCCTCACGGGGTGCAGGGATAAAAAAATAAAATGATGATATCGGGTGAGCTCATCAGCTGCCGGGGAAAGGCTAGAAGAACAGAGCTGTCTGCGGAGAGCCCCTCTCGCGACGGGAGCGCGGCGCTCCAGGCGGAGGAGGGAGCTGGGCTGCCGCAATTCCAGCGCAGGGCTTTGCTTTCCGCAGCAAGGCACACGGAGCAGCTGGAGCCCGGAGAGCCGCGCAGCGCGGCCGCTAACACCCGGCATCGCTCTTATCCCCGCTCTCCTCCCCGTAATTCCCCTTAGCCGGGGTTCGGTCAGGGAGAAAAAGCGTTCACCTCTTAAGCACGGCCTGCTCTTATTTATAGGTAAGGCGATTAGGAGCCCTTAGCGACCGCGGCACCTCCGAGACGGGGCTTAAAGCTCTCGCTCCGCAGTAATCTCTGCGGAGCCGCTACCTCAGGGGCTGCCGCGGCGCCCGCGGAGCCGCCAACGGGGCCGGAACGGGAGGGCCCTGCGCCCGGCGGGAAGCGCGGGGGCTGCCCCACTGCATCTCGCTGCCTCAAAACACAAACAAAGAGAGGCAAATTTGGTGCAGCTGAAAATAAGCAGGAGAGGGACGCAAGGGTTTTTATTATTAAAGACCTGGCTATTGTTCCAAGTGGATAACACGAGCCAGGAATTCCCATTAAAAAAAAAAAAGACAAAGTAGCTGAGGAAGAATGACCCTTCCTTCCTTCCCCCTTAGAGCTTAAAGGAGAAAAACTTATTAAGGTTTCAAAAGAGAAATGGGATTTGTCTTATGAATGTGACAATTTATTTCCCCGAGGTACTGAAGCCCGGTCATACCCAAAGGGTAGGGGATAACACTGATCCGAACTTCCTTAGCGAAACCTGTTTTCTGCACCCTGCTGAATGCTGGGCAGCTTATGCCATCTTTCACCTGTGTATTAGATGCATTTGGGATTCACGCTGTCCGCTGGGCAGCTTTTCAAGAAATCAAGCCTGCCATCGAAAAAACAAGGGGAAGCACAAGCCGAGCTCTGACATTACTATCTACCGTAAGATTATTATTATTATATTTATTTCTAAAATGCATGTTCCCCTAAACAGCTTCTCAAGGCCTACAAGCCAAGTTTATTTCTTGAAATTAGCTCCATCTGTGAGCCAAAATCAAGGGTGGACTCTGGACTCCTCGGTGCTTAGAGCCGCTCAGAAACTTTGCTGGGTTATTTTTCCACACTTTCCACACAAGTTGTTCTGGCAGGCGAGACAAAAATAATCTAGCATTCTTTTTATGGCAATTCATTGCTATTACGTGGGTCATGTATTTAGAGTTCCAGAAAGAAAAATGCAATGCAGGTTGATAGTTAAGGCTTCTCCCTCTCCCCCTTTCTGTTCCTGATGAATGGATGGGCGATGGGGAAGGAATCTGACAATTCAGCCAGAGTTTCAGTGTTTCTCCAGAAACATTTCCTTTCTGCAGCCTGCGATGGGCTGGTAAGGACCGACCATCACAAACCCCTAATGGACCATCTTCCCCCGGCCCCTTGGGACTTTGTTTTCCTGACTCCTCCCTTCCCAAGTTGATAAGTAGAGAGTTGAAAAACAAAAGGGGCAGACTCTTAGTTATGCTAATTTTGCCTCCCTGGCTATTTGGATGGTGATGGCGAATGTGATAAACCATTAAAGATAACAAGCTGCAGGAGCTGCACAGAATACAAAGTGACCTGCCCCCAAAACAAATAGATTGAATAAGGTTCTGCATTTACGGAGGAAAAGGTATCCCAAGGTCAGTCCAGCACCGAGATGGTCAGAGAGGTATTTAAAAATCGGATAAAGCCTTTTCATTCTCTTTCTATTTTTCCTTAATTAGGTTATATGCAAGAAGCCTAGAAAAGATGCAGAGCAGCATCATGTGCATCTACAAAGCAAAAAAGCTCAGTATCTTTTATGCCAGTACAGCAACTAAAGCACTCTTAGCACTGGGTGAAAGAAAACAAAAAGCCAACATCAGCATAAGAAAAATAATAATAATCAAGCAAAAAAGAAAAAAAGAAACAAAAACACAACCAAACATCCGAGCAGATGCAGCGAACAATGAAGCAAATCAACATTTTCATGTGATACACAGGGAGCTTACACACCCCAACGCTGCAAAGGCCGGAAGTGCCCTTAAACGCCACGCTACCACGGAGGCAGACGCTGCTCTCTTGGCACAGCCCAAAGGACCTGGCACCTCTACAGGCAGGGCTGCAGCCCAAGCGTCGCTCCTTCCCGCCGCTCCAGGCGGGACTTTCACAAACGCAGACAAAACAAAGCAAAAAACCCACCCACAAGCCTTACTGAACTTGCAGGAAAACACCCTTCGCTGAACTCGAGCGGCAACAGAAACCTGCCGCCCGCGAGGAGGAATTCACCCAGCCCTAGACCCTCCCGTGCAGGGACCCGCGTTACGGAGGTCCCCAAGCAGGGGGCGGAGGGGGCAGCGTCACCAGCTCTGGGGCAGTTTCTGGGGTCTCCCTCAGGGGCAGGAGGGAGATGAAGCAGCAACAGGGAAGGGAGAGGGCAGAGGCGCTTCCTCCACCCGCTACGCGCTCCCGGCCGGGCGGCCGCCTGTGCCAAGAGCCCGTCATGGCGCGGAGGCGCCGTCGCCGCTCACCTGGTGCCGTCCTGGGCGCTGCAGTTGACGTCGGCGCCGTACTCGAGGAGGTGCCGCACGATGCTGAGCCAGCCCCGCGCGCAGGCCTCGTGCAGGGCGCAGTAGCCGGCGTTGTCGCGGTGGTTCACGTCGCACACCTTGTTCTCCAGGCAGTAGAGCACCACTTCCTGCGAGCGGGAGAGGGGCACACACGCACAGAGTCAGGCGCCGCCACCGAGCCGCACGGATTGCGTTACAGGAAAGGCAAAACAAACAAACAGAATCCCCAAAACATGCAAAAGTTATCCCTCCTCCGGCAGGGCCTTCAAAGGGAAAAGGGGAAGCCGTTCGACGTTGTGTTTCATCCGGAGGCCCAGCAGAGACCACAGTTTCTCAGGAGCAGGCCGCTGGGCCAAGCCGTACCGTGCCTGCGGCCCATAAAGAGATTTTCCCACAATTTTCCCAATGTTAGTGATAGGAGCAGGAGGGGGGAACTTGCACATTTCACTGAGACAAACAACAATTCCCCCCAAAAAGCCTTACAGCCTCCACTTTTCAAAACTTCCATATATAAAACTAGTTAAAAAGATTCCACTCTAACATTTGCTTTTTCCTTTTTTTTTCTTTTAAGCACAAAACACTGCAAGCACAACAGTAGCACAGCCGTCAGTTTAATTGCAAAACAAAAAATCGTAACCCAAAACAGACCGCATTTAAGGCACACAAAGGACAGTTTGCTATGGGAAAACAAACCAAATAATAATAATAATAATAATAAAAAAAGCCCTGCTCCGTGAGCCGAGGGAAATTCCATTTGCACCCGCGCTGCTTTCCTGCACGCAGGACTAACGCCAGGCGCCCGTTTCCAATAAGCCCCCGGTGGCGGCGGGAAGCCGCGTGAATTTAACGCAATTCATCTTCCAGTCAAACGTGCCACGGATGAGAGCCTGGGCCCAGCTCGGCTGCCGCGCAGCCTCGGAGCAGCGACGGCTCCATCGCTCAAGCAAAAACTGGGGCCGCTGCTGCAACCCCCCCCTTCAGTTTGTGCCAGGCACCAAAAAAAAAAAAAAAAACTATGTATATTAAAATAAAGCATTTTAGATGCTGTGCTAGGAGGATAAAATAGCCCGCACGCTCCGGCGTCAGCTGCAAGCCATTAATTTTGCACATGCTCCCCTCGGAGGTTAAGCAGCCTTCCCCTGAAGCGCCGCTCGCCTCTCAGAGAGCAGCGCGCGCTGGGGGGAGCCTGCCTGCCTTTCTCTACTTTTATTTTTTTTGTCAAAACAGAAGAACAAAATAGACGCCGCACGCGACACGTTTTCGAAAATCTCCCCAGGAAGCCTGCAATAATCCGAGCTCCTGCTCTACGCAGGCCCGTGGGAGCCCATGCGTGCGGCCCCAGCGCCCTGTCCTCGATGCCGTGCGGGACGCCAGCAGCCGCCCCACGGCGCATCGAGCCGGCGCTCCCCACAGCCCCTCAGCCCCAGCGAGGCCCAAACCGGCCCCAAAGGGACACGCTTTGCTCCGCACCTCGGCCCGTCCGTGAAAACGGGCCGCGTGAGGTTGCGCTCTGCGGGAAAGGGTTTTCCTTCCAAACCAGCTGCGGGGCAGGTGAGCTGAGGCAGCAAAAGCCTGTAAAGGTGGTCGCACCCAGCTCCATTTTAAACATGCATTTAAAATAGATTCTGAAACTCAAAACAAAACAAAAAAAGGAACTTTCCTCTCTTTTTGTAGTGTGGGCAGCCTCCTTGTAGGGTGGCGTAACTGCTACTACTGGACACTAAAGCCCATTCTGTCGGGCAATTCCATGTTAAGAGGCTATAAGAAGAATGCCATTAACCACAAAATGTAACCATAAAGACCATAAAAGTCTACATCGTTAATTAATTAAATGCCTCGTTAACTTTTTTTTAAACATGATTTATTCAATTTACAAAAAAAAAAAAATCAGCTACCGCAGCTGGGCAGAGGAGCGCGGGGTGCCACAAACCCTCCTCCCTCAGCGTCCGCACGCGCCTCTCCCTGGCGCCGGCACAAGGCCGCCTCAGGGTCGCTCGTGACCGTTCAGGGGCTCTACTCGAACAGCAGCCACGTGAAAATCGCTCTGAGTCGATCCGCAGAGCCAGGCTCGCGCGTCACCAGTGCCGGGATCCGAGTCGCTGCTGCTGCTGCTGGCCGCGTTGCAGCCTTTCCTGGCAGGATTTCATCCCTAACTCCCAAAGAGCAGGAGACTTCCCCGAGCCCAGGCCCGGCAAGAAAGGCAGCGTGCAGCACAAAGACGAGCAGTGTTTCCTCCCGCACCCAACTCGTTACGCAAGCCACTGGTAATTTTTTCTTCTTTTTCGAAAAAGACTCTGTACTTCCTATAATTCTCCCTCCTTTTTCTCCCTCCACAAAAAGTAAATTACAGTTTTAAGACTAGTATTATCTCAAGTCATTTGTTTCAAATGGAGAAAACATAATGGGTCCAGGAGCGAACACGCACTGCGATGGCCTGCTAATATCCTGCTTAGGCAAGACCTGACGCAGAAGCCAAGCGAAGGCACCGCAGAGCTTTCCAAGAGCTCCAACGGCGCTTTGCTCGCACCATATGGATTTCCAGAGCGGAAGAGGATTTGCCATGCCGTCTCCGAGTAGCTTCGCTAGCGGCAGCAGTGCGATTTATCTGGCTAGACGCAGGCCGTGCTCGTCCTTCAACGTTTCACACGCGCGTCAGCCTTTGCCCACAAAATCACCCCGACGTGCCCCGTGACAACTCCATCCCCACCGAGCATGGGGCAGAGGAACCTGAGCTGGCGGTGTGTGGGCTCTCCGGAGGCCTGGGAGCGATATATACTGCTCCCGGGAAGCGGCTCACAGAAAAGGGTGGGAATTGCTCCACGCTCCTTTCGCACACTGCCATCGGCCGCCTCTTCGAGCGCTAGGAGCCGCAGCTCACGCTCCAGCCACTTAACCTCACCGATCCTTTTCCTTTTTTCTCCTCCCCTTTTTCCCCCTTTTTTTGAATTCTTTTCCTAATGAAGATTTTACATTCAAGAAAAAAATAACTTCTTGAATATTCTCTTTCTCCAGTACTGCTCCTGTCTTTCCAGAGATCACCAGAATACAGTGTTCCACTAACTGCAGATAGCTGCTTGTGAGGGGAAAGGGAGAGCAAGAGGGGATGGAAAAAGAAGAAAAAAAGTGGGAAAAAAATGAAAAAAAAAAAAAAACCCACACTGCTATGCAGTTTCCCCGGCTGACCAAACTATCAGAGTTGACCACAGGCCAAATGAAACTCTGACAGGGCGGTGTGACCACCCACCGCTCCAGCCCTTGAAAGGCGCTGCCGATGCCAAAGCGCAACCGCAGCTCGCGCACACCGGCCCCTTCCCGTTGTCCCACTTGTTCCAGCCTCGCACTCGGGCAGCAGCGGGGCCTGCGCTGACACTCTTGCTTCACCCTGATAACTGAGGTGAGCACGCTGAATGTTTAAGCACGTGAAAAGCGTGTGGCCTGCTCGCGCGCTTGGAGGAGTCCAAGTCAGCTGCTCAAGGACTGCTCTCGCCACCAGAAACTGCAGCCCTTCATCGAATCGCGATGAGAACTTGCGCGTGGCAAGAGCGCAAGGTCATGCAGGGCCTTCAGGGCCTTTGCTGTGGGGAGCTCCAATACCACTGGCTTTCCGTGACCAGGCGCCAGCAGAGCGATCCGAGGGTCCTCGGCTGGAGCGAGGCCCCTGCCCGTGAGCGAGTTCCCAAATCCCGTCCCCAACCTTGGCGGGCGCCATGGGGCCCGTGTCCCCCCGTGCCACACGCCAATGCTCATCCCAGCTGCAGTGCCACGCAGGGAGAAAATTCACGCCGGCAGCCTGGAGCGCACGTACACGCTCGTTTTAGATCCATGGGAAATTTTAGATCCGTAGGAAATTAAATCATGTAAATTATGACGATTGCCATGGCAACGTTGTAACAACGGCTTCTCCTCCGCCTCCCTGGAGCAGATAGTGCCCTGAGTTTAGCGCAAGGCTTTGTCTAGGGTAAACAAAACCTTTCCAGACAAATCCTGCCTTCCAGCGCTGCAGAAGGCTTCCCTCCAAGCTGAGCCCTCCACACACAAAGGGTATTCCAAGGTTTCTGTGGGTCCCTGAGGTCAAGCCGGCCGATTCGGCCAACCTCGCTCCGAGGTCACGCTGGTCCTCTCCCAACCAAGGCCAACTCTGCCACTGGGACGGAAGTCAGGGATTGCTCGCCAGCAAACCGGTAACCGCTCCAAGCAACGAAACGCTCCTCTGCAAGACCTGGCATTAAGCAACAACGGCGATGCTCATAAGCCTGTATTTCCCCAACTAAAAGGATGCCACAAGCCAGCAGAACTGGTGGATTCATCAGTTACTGATTTTCATAGCAACAGGAGGTCTGTTTCATTAGACAACATTGTTCCAGCTATGCTGGGAAGCTCCAGACTTGGAGCATAAAACATTCACAGTGCTCCTGTGATGCACCTGGTCTTGCAAGAGGGCACAGGAAGCACTGCAGTCTGTGCCACAGCAAGGAAAAAACAAACAAAAAAATCTTCAAAACTACACGCTCTTCACAAGTAACAAAAGCAAAAATCATATGGCTCATTAAAGATCACCATACAGACACACACACACAAAAAAATCTGCTTGCAGATGGTTTATGTTTAAACAGAAGCGAGGGTTACTTATAAAGCTTCACACTTCGCTTGCTCTGTCAGGATGCTGCGTGCCCCACGGTCCATCCTGCCGCCCCGACAAAGCAGGGACACCTTCCCGCAGCAACAACCTGCCGGGAGACCCACGGGAGAGGCAGCAGGAGAGGGGCAGCACACAAAAACTCAACGACCAATCTCAAAGCTTCCAACTTTCAAAATTACAATGTGGAAAAACTAGGAAAAAAAGATTTGTAATTCTATATCTGGGGAAAAAAAA